GATAATATTTTTTTATAGAAAAATCTTTGATTTGATTAATCATGATGAATTGTCAGTTTTCCAGAGCTAAGATGCGAATAGGATTAGCTAAGCCTATTCATGGGATTTACGAACAATTGAGTGTTCTTTCGTGTGTGGAGATTATAAGCGTACTGGTTAAAATCAGCCTTACTACTTTTGATAGAGTCTCATCCCTTGTGATTGTATTCTCCAAAGTGTTGGTATGTTGCAACGAACCCATTTATCGTTTGGTATGTATTTGTTTGGACAGCCATTGTCATGTTCACTCCTTTGTGGAGGTGTTTGTTCTTCCCAATTCCTTTTTAGGTGGGAAAAGTTTCATTGCAAGAAGAAAGATGTGCAAGAGAAGTGGCCAAGCCAATGATGAAATCAATGTTCTCCTTCAAAGCCTTTTTTCTGTCTCTTTATGGGAGCTTACTCCAATCCTTGTCAAGGCCAGAGAAGACTCATTTTCATCTTTGAAGCTTATGCTTCAAAATCAAAACACAGCTTACCGCGCCTATGCTATCTCGATTATTGTTGTTGAGACATTGATACCTAAAGCGGTTCATATAGCTGGTGTAATTTCAGGTCTCGAGACACTAGATGTGTTGTCCGACCCACAAGTGCTCATCTCCTTCATCAACTTGGAAGGATTCACGATTGAGTTTGAAGATTGGTTCTTCGAGATAAGCTTTTTAAGCTTCTCACCTCCAACTATCTCTTTCTTTTTCATATCTCTTTTGAGTATTGTAAAAGTTGTTTTATTAGTTAATGTGATCTTGGTGATTGTAAACAATTTCTCCATATGTGGTGGAGAGTGATCTCTTTTTTTTTATAAAAATTGTAGTTTGTGACCAAAAAAAAAATGATGGATTCGACCGTGATGATGTTCTAATACTTGCTCATTTCAGTGGTAAACATCGGAACCGAAAATTGATAATTGTGTATAATTAGACTACATTCATTTATAAAATATAGATCAAGTATTTGGGATACTAATTAGACAAATTTCGGATACTTTTAGAAAACTTAAATATTTTGTTAACAAATTTCAAAATGATTTGAACGGGTAGTTCAAATACATCAGTGTAGTCTCGAATCAATTTATTAGGCTTATGATATATCTCATTATAGAAGACGATACAAAATTTTGGTATACTACTTAGTATCATCTATTGTGATTAATTAAATTAATGAGAAATTCCAAAACACTGATACATATATAAAACAAAAATGAACATCAAATAATAAGCAAACCATATATATATGCTAAACCGAGCTTCTCTCTGTTTAACTTCAATTTAATAACGGTATAAATACAAATAAAGTAGAAAATAGGACACCAATTCGAGCCCGTCCAAAGGGGTTGAGTCTCTGAAAATGAGAGAATTAGTCCCACCACGGTTCGACCCCATATTGGTACCAATTTAGCAGAGTCAAATCTCTAGCTTTCTTCCGAGCAATAGTCTCGAGAACATTACCAGTTAATCTGGATTAATCTCTACTCGTTGTGGTAAGATCAAACCCCGAGGTAATCTAAAATTACCTCTC